CTAGTCTAGGTGAGTTTGACAGCTGATTTAAATTGGTGCCTTGTAGATAAATGCTGACTAGACACCTCACACTCCCAAGAGGCCCAAAGGCAAGAGGTTGCTATGTTTATTCCCCCCTGTAAAAGTTCATTAGTTTCTTCCTTTTCCACCTCAATTACCTCTGCCCTTCTTTCCTACAGGTAACGTGAGTAATTCAAGAGTGAGGTTAATTATAAAAATGTACTTCCTGCATAGGAGTGAGTGTCCTGTCTACAGAAATTCGAGACCTGTCTGTAGTGAGCCATGTATGGTAATAGACCTACATTTCTTCAATTTAGGGCTGGACTCACCCAGAGTGCCATCAGGCAATTGCTTAGTGGCCGGGGCCAAAGTGTGTATGGTTGGTACTCAAACATTTGTTGAATGAATGATGAATAAGTAAATGAATCTTGGCATCACATCTTAGAAGTTTTTCCAATATATTTTGTAGAGGTTGCCCAGTCCTATTTCTTCTTTACCCCATAAAAGTAACTTGTCATTCATTCATTCATTCAACAAACATGAAGAGCCTACTGTGTGCAGATATCTGTGCTAGGTATTAGGGAAATACAAAACTTAGATAAGAGATAGATTATGACATCATGGAGCTTATATAGTATAATGGGGAGGGGGATGTGTGATACATGTACAAATAAGTATACTTGAAAATAAATGCTTTGTGAAGTCCAAGGGGGAAAGTCATTAACATCAGGAGGAATCAGATATGGCTTAATGGAAGAGGCAGGGAAGCTTGCAGCACCAGCAATGGCCAGCACAACCATATACAATACTGAAAATAGGCTGCTTCCTTTGCCTGTGGCAGTAGAGAGTTGCCCAGTATATCTTTCTCTCTAAAGTCACCAACCCATTTTACAGGTGAGGAAAAGCGAAGTTCAGATTAGTTGTGATTTGCCCAGGGCCACACAACTATTAGGTACCAGAGCAGAGACTAGATCTCAGTCCTCCTAACTCACAGTCCTCAGTGTGTGTGTGTGTGTGTGTGTGTGTGTGTGTGTGTGTGTGTGTGTGTG